AGACACTTATAGATATCTAATATCTAATGGGGGTAGTCTATTCGGTGAAGTTCTATGCTAATATATGACGTCACCAAAATCCAGAGGGAGTAGCGAGCCAATCAGAGCTCAGCTCAGGAATTAGCAAGCGATGCTTTGCATAATCATTCTTCAGTAGATATATTATTTGACGGGGGTGGGGTGGGATGGGTGCTGAGTGGTAGTTTGCGGCCGAATAAACCGATGTTCGATGTAATGTGACGGCTTTCACCAAGCTGTTCAATTGTCGTTAGTGTTGTCCAAATCATCACATTTTAAATTAGTTTTACAGTTCTTATATCAGACATAGTATTCGGATAAAAAACACGAAAAAATCTCTTGAAATTGTTAAGACCGATACAGTACTAGCTGTTTCCAAAGATTTGCCGGGATTCAACTAAACGCAATTAAGACCTCTGAAACTCCAACATTACACTCGAACGTTCCACATTTCGATAAAGTTTACCAATGTTTAAATTGATTATCAAATAACTAGTGAATATAAACTAGTGAATACTACTAATTGAAGAGAATGAATGATAATCCGTATAAATCGTATAATCAAATTAAAAATTATTTTGACTCCCGGGAGTTCGTCCAGGGACGTGAAAAATCTTAAGTGCCAAGTCGATTGTATACTATGCCGAGCGGCGAAGAAGCTTTAAATTGTCAACTGAATTTGGTCAAAAGGAAGACTATCTATACACCTAAATACAGTAAAGTATCTTTGATTAGACTGGATTTACATTTTACTGTAATTTTGACTCCCGGACATATAATTTTTCGTGTCCGGGAGCCTGTCCAGAGATGTGAAAAATCTAAGTGCCAAGTCGATTGTATACTATGCCGAGCGGCGAAGAAACTTTAAATTGTCAACTGAATTTGATCAAAAGGAAGACTATCTACACCTAAATACAGTAAAGTATCTTTGATTAGATTGGATTTACATTTTAATGTTAAATTTGCCAAAAATAATTAATAATAATAATACAAGCGCGCGTTCAAGTTGACTGTCCTTCTGATGGACAAAACTGAATCATGGCTCGCGCTCTATAAAAATATTCACGCCTCACGGCTAATTTTTTCGCATTTTCACGATTCACGGCTAATTTTTCAGCCGATTAACCACGTTTATGTTTTTGCACAAGCATCAAACGCCGTCGGCTCTTATCGAGATAAATCATCTAATTATAGGGACCACAAAACTCAGTTGGTCGGAATACTCGTCATTATCACCCTAAGCGGGACCAAGACACTGATTTCAAGCCCTAAAAGGGACGACGAGGACTCCCGCCCTTTTTT